ATACTGTTATGAACTTGTGGGAAATTGGCTAAAGCATTGGGTTCTTAAGACCTAGGACCACCTAGGCCTGTACTTGAGTTTGGTAAAGATCATCCAGAAGAATGCCAAGTCAATTAGATGATGGAGTTGATGGCTTCTAAATTAAAAATTCTTTAAGTAGCAAGATAAAGAAAAAGTTGAATTATAAAATAAAGATTCTTTTCCATGAAGGTGTAAAAACAACACAAAGCAAAGTGGCAAATAAGCACAGATATCTATGCCTTATTTAAATACAAATCCCTCCAAAATAATTATCAGAGTATTTTTCTCTCCAGATAAATTCCTCCCACTCTTTTCTTTTTCAGTTTCCCCCGTCCCCCCAGATTAACCCTAAGGAGCTAAGGAGCTGGAGAAACCAATATTAAAAATTGTTAAATAACATATTTCACTTGTGCCTTCATCCTTGCTTAATAATCAAAGTAGCATGAGAAAAAATATGCACAGATGTCAGACACACATCCTTCAGCTGCAGAGCTATCCCTTGACCTCAGTCCTTATACCGTGGGTCACGTGGCATTCCAAATATTTCCAAGTTTGCATTCATTACCACTTGCTTCCCCAGGAGCTCAGCAGCTTAAAATCCTTAGGACAACCCTGGACATGGCAATCTTGCCTTAACAGAGAAGGTATGTGCCACCACCCCCTAGTCCTGATGCGGCCTTTCTGATTCAAGTTAATTGCTTTGGGAAAAAAAGGACTCAGCTTCCTTCTCATATCCCCAGGAACATTTCCTTGGAAAGGAGGGGATATTGTGTGTCCAGCATGGCTGATATGCATCTTTAATCAGATAAGCTCTGAGATGCCAAGGAAGAAGAGACTGAGAACATAGGAAGCCCTGAAGTGACCTTGGGAGGCTCAGAGTGTGGGAATATTCTGAGTTTTGTCATTTTAACCCTCAAACCTAACTCAGCAGGAGAGCTTACAGTTCAGCTCTGCAACAACTCACACTGTATGTCTGGGTATCTGGTGTCTGCATTTTAGCACTACTTCCATTGCTACTCACTAGCACCAGAACCTGAAGGAAGGTGTCCACCCCCTTTCCCTTATCTCCTTGATGAAAATTTGCCAAAACACAGCTGTTATGTAAATGGACTCTGCTTTGGGGAGATGAAAGCAGGCATCCATAAACCACCAGGTATAAGTTCACTGTCATTTCAACCCAAGGCAACGTGCTCTGAGGAGGGACAAGAGACGTGAGCTCGTGAGTGCTTCAGCTCAAATTCAGGAATTTGTCCTAGGCGCCCTGTAGGGAGGAACCCAAGACAAAGGAGCAATCCTTGATTTTCAGCCAAGGGCCTTTTCTCATCCCTCGAGAGCCGCAAATTTAGATGAAGGAGGACAACTTTTTACAGGGAGGGCTAAATTAGTCTGTCTATGACCAACCTTTAATTGAAACTAATGCAAACAAATGTCTATCTCACTCTGAGTTCTGTTTCAATTAATATTGTGGTGGAAAGGCAGTTGGCAAGGAGAAGACTGTGGTATTTTAAAAACAATAAGCTGAGGATTAGAGTTTTGTTTTGTTTTGTTTTGTTTTAAATGGATACTGTAGTCTAAGGAGAAAAGTGGGAGAGAAAAGTTTTCTCCTGGCACTGTTAAAGCAGAATGTGGTGCCAGGCACTCCATCGACTGTCTGAAGATAGGGTAATTGTCACTCTTCTCACCATAACTTCTTGCTTTCAGATCAGCGGCTGGCAGGTTTATCTGCTTCTGAGCAGCTTCAGAGCCACGTCAATGACACTGGCTACGTCAGCAAGAGCAATCGGAAGAGAAGAGGATGCCACTGCCAGCAGCAGTGGGAGGGAAAATTTTAGCCTTAAAGATTCTATCTGTCTGTCTGCCTGATTCTAACTGGCATACATGACTTTCAGTGACTTCAGAAGGCCGGAAGAGGGTATCTAGTTTTAGACTGCCTCCTTAAGGCGTGGGGTACAGTAGCATTTAGTTAACATGTGTTTAAGCCTCCAAAGCCCTTGTTTAGGTCTTGTTCCCTACTTAAGAGAGGCTGGGCTTCCAAATGTATCAGAGGAGATCACCAAAATAAACGCTACCACAAATAAGTGTCTAAAGCCACACCACACACACCTAGAGTGATTACTGCAGTAATTCTGGCTCATTTCACACTATTGATAGTTCCAGATGCTTTCATTTTTGGCACTATTATAACAAACATGACACTACAACCACCAACAATTTGATTAGGACCTGTGGCATAACACTATTGTATGGTCTTTTTTTGTAAGTAGGTTAACAGCGTCTGCTCTCAAGAATGGCAATCCTTTAAAGTTCATGGTTACAAAGATATGATCCTATTCCATGGTCAAGTATCAGCCACCTTTCCAACCAGGACCATTATATATGACTAACACATTGCCAAAATGCTTTTAACAGTGTTGAGGAGGAGAAAGAAAGCCTAAGGCAAAGGTTACTGAGTGAGTTCAAAGTGAAATAGCTTCCCTAACCCAGACATATTCAGAGGAGAGAAAAATCCCACAGCTAGCACAAGCCTGGTGTTTCCACTTACTCTAAAGTCAAAATTTTGGGCAGAGATCAAAAGCTTATGGTTATTGGGTTCTGATAAATCATTTTGTCTAATTTTTCACAGATGAAGAAGGAGGATGCCAAGCTCAGAAAGCTACAGTTCTTCTCTTATATTCTTAAGACTGTATATAACATCTGGCGTAATGCTCAATGCCAGGCTCCAGCAGGAATGTAATTTAACATTGTATGATGAAAATTACCAATAAATTGTCAACAACTATGGCCAAGTCACTTGATTTCCTGTGCTTCAGTTTCATCACCTATTTCCTTCTCAGTAAGCTAAAACTGAAGATGTTAAGGTGCCTCATAGAGTGAAGAAATGAGGAACACACCTTAAAAAATACGTAAGGTGACAACTAGAAGGAAAAGAATCAATAATGCCACATTTGGAGTCACTGTCCCCATGGCTACCTGTAGCACTCGCTCTAAGCCATAACTGATATGCAGTTCTCTGCAACAGGGGTTCTTAACCTAGGTCATTAAACCCCACAGGCTGTCATGGGTGTGCTTTAAAAGAAGTCCACCAGCTCTGATCTCTAGGGCAGGAAGCCCAGGACACAAAGCTTAAGAACCACTGCTATAATAAATCTTGGCTACAGGTATACCAAAAAACCCCAAAACAAACAAACAAAAAAAACTTACACTGCCAGATGGAGAGGAAAAGTCAGGAAACATGGCTCACAAGCCAAGAGAAATGCATGAGATAAGGATCTCAAGAAAACCATCACCTTCCTAAGCCCCAACTCCTTGGGCCATCTATTCTACACTGACCCTTTCTGTCTGAAGAGAATTTCTTCAAGCAACAATGCCTAGAAGATCATTAATAATAAGCAGAAGAAATGACTAATCACAAAGGACACAGGTAGAAAGTACCTGAGCTGCCAACCATCCACTACTAAAGACACCTGTCAGAGGGACAACCAAAAGATTTCATGGGGCTTTGAGGAGAGCAGGTAGCTTTAAAACAATATGGTTGTCATGAGTTGCAACTGTGGGGCCATCTTGTGTGCAGTGTGAGGGATGAGAATGGAGTATGGGTCTGCATGTCAGACCCAGAATGAAGAGAGGAATACTCTAGTCACTCAGTAGTACCAGCATACCCCCCCCCCCCCCCCCCCCCCCCCCCCCCCGCAAATAAGACCCAACTCCCAGCTTTGATAAAGGAACCATGTTTGGAAGAGAAACTGAAGAGAATTGGAATGAAGTACTTCTACACGAGAAGAGTGGTTCAAAAGATGGACAAGAGGTAAATTGTGATCTTCAAAGACCAGGTCATGGGGCGGGGGCAACAATTAAAGAGGTGTGAGAGAGGGAAAGAAAGAATTTCATCCTAATTCCTCAGAGCTAGGCAGTGCATATAAAATTACCTAAGACTTATAGAGCAATTTACATTTTACAAAACATTATGACATTCATGATATCGTTTAATCCTTATCACCCTGAAACGCTGGTTATATTTTATTTTACACATGAGGAAACTGAGGCTGAGTAGGGCGAATTATGCGACTTGCTCAAGGTCACTTGGCTGAAATCAGCGCTAAGACTCATCTCCAATGCCCCCATCCCTCCGAGTGGCCTTCAACCTTGAAACGCTTTGCATTAACTCCTATAGGGCAAGGCTGGTGTGGCTGCAACAGACTTCGCCCCCTCACCCCCAAATCTGGGAAGGAGCAGCGCCCTCAGGTGCCAAGGAGGGGACCTGAGTGACGCGGAGCTGCTGACTGGGGTTTCCCTGTCCTGCGGGGCTCGCGGAAGCCGGGAGCAGAAGCCACAGCTCTGGAACACAGGGCAGGCAGGCAGTCAAGTCAGGCTCCAGCAGCAGTTGCCGGCGTGGGGCTTAACACGAGACCGGCAGCGCTGGGTGAATTCCCCTCTGAGCGATCCCGGGGCGGGGACCAAGCGCCTGCGCCCGCTTCTCCGACCCGGCTCCCCACGATCCCCGCTGCCCCGCTGGCTCCTTCCCGGCGGTTCCCCGGTGCGTGGGGGCGCCTTGGAGGAGGTATGGGGCTGGGGCTGAGTGTGGAGGTGTCAGAGGGCTGACCCCAGGGCAAGGGCTTCCAACGCCGATCTTTTGGGTCAGGACAACAGTGAACAAACCCCGGTTGAAGTTTGGGCATCAAAGGTTTCAGACCAAGTAGCAAGTTGCCTGGAAAGCGAGCGGTCCTAAGTGGAGGGTCCGGGGCAGAGATGGTGGTAGGAGAAGAAGAGGGAGGCAGGAGATGGTGACCCTTTCCACACAGCCCCTGGCGGCCCCGCGGGTAGGTGGCCGGTCCGCCTCTGCAGCCCGCGGGTACGGAGAAAGCGCCCGGCACCGGGCACCGGGCACCCCGCACCGCGGCGCAGCGCAGCCAGCCCCTCCTCGCCACGCTCCGCGCTCCTCCCCACCTGCCCACGGGCTCGCCCCCGCCGCGGAGACTCACAGTCCTCAGAAACTGGATCTCGTCCTCGCCTCCTTCTCCCCCTTCGGCCATGGCTCCCGAGGCGTCGGCGGTGCCCCAGCCTCCGGCGCCTCTGCTTCCCCCGGCAGCAGGCGTGCGCTGACTGCTGCTGCGCTCTTTCTCCTCCTCCTCCTCTTCGTCCTCCTCCTCCTCCGGCTCCTGGCTCAGCCTCAGCAGCGTCTAGCTAATCCCCGACCATATAGGGAGCTGGGCTAACACTCCACTGCACTGCAGAGCGCCAACGCCAGCCGAGCCGCCCGCCCACCCCTCTCGCCTCTCGCCCCAGCCAAGTGCGCTGCGGCCGCCCGCTCTGTGGAGAGCGCAACGCCAGGCGCGTCGAGCTTGCGGGGGCGGCGCGGGGGCCCTGGGCTGGCGCGGCGGAGCCTCCCCCGCACCGCTGGGCACCGAACCGCACACTCAGTGGAGGCGCGCACCCCGCGGCGACCGGAGGATGTCCCCCAAACTGCTCCGATTCACAAACAAAGGCCAGTTGCTTAGCTCCAGCGTGCCCAGACTGGGTACCAACCCTCTGGCTTTGCCGTGTGTGTGTGTGTGTGTGTGTGTGTGTGTGTGTGTGTGTGTGTGTAGTGTGTGTGTGTGTGTGTGTGTGTGTGTGTGTGTGTACAGAGAGAGAGAGAACAGAGAGAGAGAGAGAGAGAGATCTAGACTCGAATGCCTTGCCCAGACCCGCGTGCCTTTTTGGGCAAGGAGAAAACGGTGCAGTGAGGAGCGAGGTGACTGTCCACTCATAACAAAGTTTGCAACTCCCTAGATAGTCCTTTCTAAATCTTAAGACAACCCCTTCCCCCTTCAAAATTGGTAAGTACACTTTACCAAACCCCTAGATTGTCCAGGGTTGCTGTAATTTATTTCTGTACCCCAGGGAGCCTCTGGGGGCTCCTGTTCGATCCTCAATATGAAAGTCAGGTGGCATTACAATCCTTCTTTTCCACTCACCCCTAACCTTATTCTGCATTTTAGAGTTCCAGCCCTGTGGACTCTAAAGGAGTAGAGGGGAGTAGTTCCCGGAGGTTCTCTTCCAGATCCCAGGAGACTCCTACATCCCACTGAGCCTTAGGTCCTTTTCCATGGTTGGGGGCTGTCAGCTTGGTCCTTCCCTAGGCTAACGGTGCAGGGTGCCCCCTTCTGTTGGATGGCCGAGAAGCTCCAAGACAAGAGACTGTTCAAGGCAAAAGGCACCAGACATGTATATTTAGGAGGAAATGCAACTGGGAATGTGGTCTTTCTAGGCTGAGGCTGGTGGAAGACACTGGAAAACCCAAGCCGTTTCACACCTTCATATACCAACTCCTTGTGGATGACATCTGTCTCTTGATTCTACCTTAAGATCTTTCCTGCGCTTCTGTTCCACATGTTCTGATGAACATCAGAAATGCTAAGAAAAATAATGTTTTTTTTTCTTATATTGTACTCAAACTGCTACCTTCTAAAGTCTGCAGCTTGGTCCCTATGCCTCTTCTGAAGTCCACCTAGAACAAGTCAAGCCATCTGTACATGTGGCCTTTACCTCTCAGAAGGCATCTGCCATGCTTACCTTTATGGCCCATCATCTGCTTCTTCTCCTGGCTAAAGATTCTTCTTACCCCCAGCTTTCTGTGTAGTATAGTTTTCAGAGCCTACATTATCTTTGATGGCCATATAAACATTCCAGGTTGTCTTCTTCCTGAATTGTTGTGCTCTCCGTCCTTGTTTTGGACAGTCTTTATGTGTAGCCTAATATCGCATTGGCTTTTGGGGAAATACCAATGATACTCGCTGTGTTTGCAGTTAACTAGAATTTCTAGATTTTTTTTTCTCCCACATGAACTGCAAAAATCAGCTCTTCTCCATCTTGATCATGTGCAAGTACTTGAGTACCAGCTTTAAAAAATATTCCTTCCAATTATAATACACAATGATGTATTGGTGTCTCTATATGTGAACCTTTAAGATACATTTTAATCTAGAGTATGCCATGCAAGATGCTAATTATTACTAACCTGTGATATGGCATATCTTTAGAATAGTAATAGAGGCCCTCTTGGATAAACTTTCATACTTTTGATTATGCTTACTTAATGGTCAAGAACTTACCTAAGTCAGAAAAAAAAATTCCTTGAGTACTATGCTTATTACATGGGTGATGAAATCATCTGTACGCCAAACCCCCATGACATGTGTTTACTCATGTAAAAAACCCGCACACGTACCCTTGAACCTAAAACAAAAGTTATAATTAAAAAATAACCTACATAAATATATTGTTTTGCAGCCCAAATTTCTTGTTCACTGGGCTACTACAAATCCCTTTTTCACATACTTTACTAAAATAAAGATATGTAACCTGGGACACCACCTCCTGTATCAGTCAAACAACCCTGCCACAAAAAGAAGTAAGAATGGAGTTCTGTAACACCATTAGTGTGTCCACTTGGATTCCTGATGGTCTTTGTGTTCCTTTAGAGTGCCCAAAAGTAAGCTGTTTAATTATCAGAATCTAAGATTGTTCTGGAGCTCAGCTTACAGAGTCTAAGACTGTTATTTCAGCCTGTGAACTGGGGAAGGTGAACATGTACCTCCATTTGAAATCTACTGGCAATTCTTCCATTCTGTAAGATTTCCCAGAGATTCACCAAAAACGATGCTGTAGTCATATAGGTATAGATAAATAGTCATTCAGACACTACTTTGATACCTGTTTTGCTATCAGTTCACCCATTAAGACTGGGAGAGAATAAGCTAATAGTAAGTTACTTGTCTAAATTCATACATCTAGTAAAAGGAGTCAAACAATCTCCTCTCACTTGGAGTAAAACAATCTCAATACTTTTCAGTACTTTCTCCACTATACTGCCTTGCTTCTCGAATAGAAAAGTGGAAAAATCAGGTTCATACACCACCTCCATGCCCCCATATCCCATACACATTGGATTTGCTCCTACACAGCCTATATTTTAAACTGAGTCTCTCTCAAGACCAGTTGCTCTTAGTAGAGAACCAGAGGACTTGGGCCTTAGGTCTTAGAGGATAATGTAGTTACTACATTTTGAAAGAAAAACACAAAGCCTCCCAGGTTTCTAAACCCCTGGAGAAAGCTATTAGCCATTATTATGACTTCAATGAGGTGACCGTCTTGAGAAGTGAAATACCTTTGGGATGCTAGCATGGTTGAAAGTCAGACCTCAAAGCCTGCTGCATTTGAATGTTGGGGCACTGTGCAGCCCATATCAACAGCAGGTGGAAAGCCTGTAGTGGGGGCCAAATCAGAAATGTTTCACTTTTACTGTTGTGGCCCTTTTATACCTTTTACATATATCATTGTAAAGGCCTGACAAAATCTGAAGCCTGATTATTGAAATAAAATTCATATATTTATTTTCTCCTCTGGCAGGTTCTCAAAGTGTTGGTCTTGAGGATTTTCTCACAGAAGATGGCCTCTTATTTGTGTTTTAACAGTAATATTGCTATAGTCTTAAAATGCTAATGAAAATGCCCACACTCATATAATTCAGCATCTCATTTGCTATGCTTTATTATTCATGGTGGCCAGTTGCCCAAGTGGTCTCAATGAGGCCAAGGATGTGGATTCAATTCTAAGAGGGCCAGTTAGCTTCACTCTATTTGCTGTCCAAAGACCCTGCCCCTTCACTGTGGTTAAAAGCCTCATAAATCTTTGTTCATTTAGCCATAGGGGAGGCAGGCTTAAGCTTTAACTAGCTAGGACTTCCCATACTTGGAGACACAGAAGCTAAGGGGTCACACTTGATAAAGATAGCCTTCACCCATGTTAATAGCAATATATTAAACTCTACACAACACTGAATCCTTCTCCAATATCTATTTCAGCCTTACCTCCTAACTATAGGAATCATTCATTTGCTGAAAATGCATTTCTTCAGTTAATTGCACTCATGGCTTCCGTTTGCATTGACTTAGGTTCTGCCTAAGGAAAGTATAAAAGAGAATGATGAAAAGAACTGTAGAGTTGAGGGAGCTGACTCTGCTACCTACCGTCTTTTAAAATATCTCACCATATACACAAGTACTATCTATATGCTGACTAAAGATTTATTTATTTTTTTCATTAGCAGAAAGAAAAATATCCCACTTTTCTCTGCTTTTTGTTTAGGTGTTTAAATCGTGAAGTTATTTTACTGGTGATTAAGGCAAGAAGGTATTGTCAACAGGGAAGGCCGTGAACAGGAAGAAATAACTCCTGAGACTACACCTGCTTTTGATTTGGTGCCAGTAGGAAGGATGGTATACACGTTTTACGAAAGTCATTTTTTATGTTAAGAAAAAATGTAGCTGGGTGTGGTGGCATGCGCCTGTAGTCCCAGCTACTCGGGAGGCTGAGGCGGAAGAATCGCTTGAACGTGGGAGGCAGAGGTTGCAGTGAGCCGAGACTGCGCCACTGTGCTCCAGCCTGGGCGACAGAGCAAGACTCTGTCTCAAAGAAAAGAAAAAAAGAAAAGAAAAAATTATCATTAGTTTCCAAGCTCTTTATAATAAGTGACTAAATTGTTATATGCCCTAAAACTTGGAAGCCATACCAAAACTCCTTGATTCAGATTCCTTTCTTCAATAGAGAGGGGACAGGTACATAAAAAATATCTTTCTTTTCTGATTATATGTGCTTTCTTATAAAAGCCACAGACACCGCAACTGCTTAACACAGGGAAGGATCCAGTTACTGACACCTTCCTGAAGCAGAACACATGGAAATGTCGTCGTTGCCACCACCTCCTCCACCACCGCCTCCTCCTCCTCCTCCTCCTCCTCCTCCTCCTCCTCCTCCTCCTTTACCTCTTCTTCCTCCTCCTTTCTTCTTCCCCTTTTTTTCCTGCCTCTACTCCTTCTTTTTCACCTTCTCCTTTTTCTTTTTTATATCTTAAGATTGGAGGTTTACATTATAAGGTTAAAGTTAATATGCCACTCTGGCGAAAGGCTCTGTAAACTAAATGACTCAAAGAAGGGGCTTTGTCCCAGGGGGGTTGGGGCAGCCTTGAGGCACAGCAGAGATACAGGCAAGCTGAGCACACCTGCAGAAGCCTAGGAGGCAGATCATCTTGCAAGGTGCCATCCATTGAGCTGATTCATCTTCAGGAGTCTCCAGTTGGAAAGGGCTGTTAAAGCAGTAGATTAAGCCACAAGCATTATAGTAGCTCATTTGCATTTGCATGCAGATCAGCCTCTGTTTAACAGTAAATTTATATTGTAATCATTGTGTTTCGCAACAGCGTTCACATTAGAAACACAAGGGTTTGAGTCCTGGGCAAAGC